GTACCTGCCCGGCTCCCGCCGCGCCGCCCGCCGGGGACTCCGCTCAGAGGCAAACCGTCCCCGCTGGGGAGATGTTCTACTCGGGGGTCCTGACAGAGCCGAGCAGGAAAGAAGCGGAGATTCGGGAAGCGGCGTCTCTCCGCCAGCAGAGGCGGATGAAGCAGACAGTCCAGTTTATCCACAAGGATTCTGCAGATCTCCTCCCGCTGGACGGGCTGAAGAAGCTGGGGACTTCAAAAGATACCGTAAGGCTTTTACTGTGTTTACTGGAAGGAGGCTTTAGAAGCTGGCAGGACGATGGTTTTCTGTTGTATTTTTTTTTCTTCATTACATTTTTTTCTGTTAGGAGAAGTTGCTTGCTCGTGGAAACTGATTTTTAAAAATAAGGCTTTGTACATTAAAGGAAGGGAGTAGAAATACAATGCTACTTACTACCAGTGTTGCCTTTTGCTGGTAGGTGCTTTCAGATGCCTGGCACTTGGATCTAAGGGCTTTTATTTTTATATTTTTTTTTTTTTTTTACACATCCTTGAAAATGGGATACTGTGATACTGTTTTCAGTACAGACATCTCTGAATGGGAATAAATCAAAATGGCTTCATATAATACTTACATATGTTTGTGATGCCTATATGCACACAACATATAATCATAAAAGATTCGATAAAGTGCAACCACTACTACTTCAAAATGTAAAATTGCCAAGATTATGCTTTGATGAAGGCTTGTGCATATATTAAAAAATTAAGATACATAATTCTAGGTTTAAAATTTACATATGCAATGATCCATGTGATCCTGTAGCTGACATACAGTCATGCCCAGGGGATGGAGAGCATTGCTGTATGCTAATGTCCACAAACGTTTGAGCTTTCTCTAATGGGACATTCTATTTCAATGTAATGTTGAAAGTTGTGATGTAAGGAGCAAAATCTAAAAAATACCTTGTATCTAGGACAGCTCCTTTACTATTTTTGGCCAATTTTTGCCAAGATTGCAAGTTTCTTGCACCTTCTAACACACAATATCTACTTTTTACCATGCTTGATACAGGTTCTTTGAAAAAAGTGAATAATTTTATCTTTAGTGGGGTAGTTTCGTACTGTCACAGCCTTCCTGCTCAGCTGGGTTAGGCTTGGCTCTGCCTGGCTGAGATGAGTGGAATGAGTTGGCTGTTCTTTGCAGTGTGCATGGAAGTGTTTTTTCTGACATCTCGTTTGGCCCTGGTGCTCAGGGCAGAGCGTGGGGCTGTCACCACAGCCCCGGTCACAGAAACATCACCTCAGTTTCCCTCCCTGCTCTTGTGCCCACTGGGGCGGCAGCATCACCCCTGCTGCACCCACAGCCCCTGTGTGGAGGGTCCGTGTGAAGGGATATGCCCAAGCTCTGGAGAGGTCCACAGCTCCTGGTCCCATCCAAGGACAAAAAAAGGGGTGTGGTGTGACAGAGGCGCACCGCCCGCCCCAGCTACCCTGGCTGTGGGGGGCTCTGTGTCCAGGGATGGGGTGAAAACTAAACTGGCATGGGACACCCCACCGCAAAACCATCTTGTCCCTTCACCACAGCGAAGGGTAACAGCAGAGTGGGCACACATGGCCAGGGCTTGCTTTGGCCACAGCCGCCTGCCCCGTGGGGCACAGGGGGATCCCCAGAAGCTGCAGCACTGGCCCGTGCACAGGCCGTTCCGCAGCCCCGGGGCAGATGCCGAGGGTTTCAGAGTCGGGGCAGTGGGTGCTGTTGCAGCAAAGCACTGGTGCCACCAGCACCACCCTGGCCACCCACCTGCCCCCAGGGCAGCAGCCAGCAGCACTGCGGGGGGACCCCGCCTGTCTCCCCGGGCCTTGGCTCTCTGGATGTCACCAGAGCTGTCCTGGGGAGGAGTGGGAGGTCAGGAACCTCCAAGACCGGAGAAGCACCAAGAGCCTCCAAAATGTGCGACCCTCGCCTTGGCATGGCCCCAAGAATTTTTCAGTGTATAGTTCCAGGTTAGAGTGAACTCTTCTAACTCCTCACTCCTCTTACGTATTGGACTTTGTTTGCCTGGTATAAGACCAAACTGTAGCACAGCATACATTCCACTGAACTGGGCAAATGTAGGGCTGGATATACAGAGCAGGAATCATTTCATTTCAATGCCATGCTATTAGCCTCCTCTCCAAAGGCCAGAAAATTGGCACGAGATGGTTGTTAGCTGGGATCTGGGCTTTCTGGCTCTGTAACTGTGCCCCCCTGCCTGATGTGGGCAAGGCGTGCTGGCTGTTAGCAGCACCTCCTCATGCTCTGACACTTCACTCTTGCCCCGAGAGCAGCAGGACTGGTTTGAAGGGGCTTTGCCTGAAAACAAGCTGGGAAACAGTTATAAATAGCAACAAACAACAAAAGAAAGCATTTTTCCCTCCCAAAATGCCCTTAGAGTCTCCTAAGGACACCCAGGTTCTCAGCAGAGCTCTGCGTGTCCCCATGGCCTTGTCTCTTGCTCCTGTAGCTGGTGCAACATTGTGGTGCAGTCCGTTTCCTCCCCTTTCCCACTGTGCACTCCTCAGTTTGTTGTATCTTGGTTAAAATGCAAAACCAGCTGATGTTACACGCACTGTCTTGGTCAGAGCCTTGGCTGCTGCTTCAGCACCCAGGGAGTGCAGAGGAGCAGGGGGCATCTCTTGTTCCACCTCAGCCCCCTGTGACAGGGGCTGACAGTATGAGAGCACTGGCTGCTGGTAGAAGAGTTGAATTTGGATGAAGGATGGGAAGAAGAGAGAGACACTGGTTATTTCTTGGGATAATCTCTGTTGGTGTGTTTAAAACTCTTTATTTTTACTGTCTAGGTACAGAAGAGAGGGCAAGCCTCCTGCAGTGGGCTTGGGGAGGGGGGGAGCTGACATCTTCCCTGACTTTCATCTCCACCTGGGTGATACTGTTATTGATAAGCCTTGTTATCCCCAGATCTAGAAACCAAAATAGTGTGGAACCTGCCAGAGGGATGGATACTGTGAGCTGCAGTGATGTGCTTGCTTAGAAATTAGAGGGGACCAAAACTGGACAGAATTTTGTGTGGTTTTGACAGACAGTGATAAATAGATTCAGCAATAGCTGGTGTGTCCACTGACTTCTTTTAGGTTCCCGCTGTGACTTTTCTAGTGGATTATAGGTTTTTGCAAAGTCTTAGGGATGGAAAGGGAGATATCTTAGGAAAAAAATCCCGATTTATTTTTGTATTGTGCTGAACAATACTAGGAAATTACCTTTTCTTTTATACAATGGTACATAACAATTTTTTTTTTTTATAAAACTTGCAACAGTTTTGTGCGATGCATAGAAAAACAGAACCAGGTAACCTGGGTTACTTCAAACAGTGATCCTGGCTGTGTGGCCAGCCCGTGCAGGAGGCAGAACACGGCTGCCCTCCCCCCACACTGTCACGGGGAGCTTTTCCTCCTCTGCCACCTTCACAGACATGGCCTGCTTGCACTTTCCCAGTAAAATGTGTGGAAATGTCCCCTGGCATATTATCTGTTTATCAACTACATATCCATCACTTGAGTCGTGTGTGTGACTAACATCCCTCACTCTGCTGCACATGAAAGTCAAGGGAAATACAAGTTAAAGGGAACTAATTAATAGCCTGAGACAGGATGGTGCCCCAGGGAGCCTTTTCAGCCCCCTCTTGCTAGATTATTTCTGTATTGGAGCACAGCATAAGCAACATTTGTCTCCCTGAAGGCAGGATCTGCTGCAGCTTCCAGAAGAGCAAGCATCAACAGCAGACAGTCCTGTTTGTGGTGGTCACTCCTGTTTGCTGAGTGCTTGTTTTTTTTCCTTTTGGTAATGGATCCTACATAAGAGTCATAAAACCAGGGCCTGAGAAAACCCACATATGTAGCTGGTTAACAATCCATAGGAGAACTTGTAAAACAAATTTAGGTTTAAAACAAGGGTAGCTGCCAGTTAAAAAGGCAATGATGAGCGTGCTGGTGATTTGCTGTTCTCCAGCCTGTTCTTCCAAACGCATTTGGCAATGTGGCTGAGGCCAGACAGCTCAGATGAGCACCCACACTGCCCTGGGTGATGCCGTGCAGAAATTTCTCTCTGTCCTAGCTGAGCAGGACTGGATGCGAGGAGGTGACCACTGTGTGACAGGCTGTCTTCTGGCCAGCTGGGAACTTCACCCATCTACTTTTCCAGTTCCCTATTCCCTCATTTGTTTTTTTGGATGATGTGCAGAATGAGTGCTCCAGATGTGTGCCTGAGTTCAGGAAAACATAAAGGGTAAGAAGAATGCAAACCCTGGCTTGCACTTTCGCTCAGATGAGGAGCCTTGGAGGTGATTACGGTGCTGCCCGTGCACTGTGGCCTTGGCCTCACGTGAGGGAGCCCACACTTCCAAACTGATTTGCTTGTCCCTCAGCACAGGGTCCGTTACTCAGGGAATCAGTCTGCCTGCCTTTAGTCCAGGTAAGTAATGCTGGTTTCTGCTGTTCAGGCTCCTTGGGAAGGCAGTGGTCACCAGCAGTGCTGGAGCTTTGTTGGTTTTGTACATGAAGGAGGCAGTGCACTGTCAGGTGTGGTTTGCCCCCGTGGCTGGGAGCATGGCTGTGTTATTGCCTGTACACAGGACATGCTCTCTAGTGTGCTGGTCACACAGGGCACCTGCAACCAAAAATGGGCCTGAAATTTTCTTTCCTTTCAAGTCACCATTGTTGTATGCAGAAGTAAGAACACTGAAAAGGGGGGCGGGGAGGGAAGGGAAGGAGTTTACGTGTCCCGGTAACCACTGGTGTTGGCGGCATCTCCCTGATCTCATTCAGGTCCAGTTTAACTGCCTGTGTTATAACTACAGCAGGATCTGAAGCACTAACATGGCTGCAGTTATTTTTGGATGATGGCAAATTGCATTAGCCTTTTGTAAGTGCTGTTATTTATCATGCTGCACAGACCATTTTAAAGACAAGGTGCTGTGCACGAGGATGCTCGCTGGCCAGCTTGGGGAACTATGGCCTCATGTTTTCAAAGTTATCCTGATCCCACTGAAATTCCCTTGGGATGAGGAGGTTTGCTGATTTAGATATCTCTGCAGACACAAATACTTATTTAATGTGAATGCAAAAATTCAGGAATAAGCTAGTAAGAAGGTCTCACTGTAGATAAATTAAAATCATAACGAAAGGGCAGTTATTGGGGGGAGAGATTAGCTAAGCAGAGAAACGAGCAGATAACCAAGCAGAATCACTTCACTTCCAGCCGAGAATGTGCATCCATCCGTGACAAACATAGACAATAAAAAGGTTTTTGGGAAGGCAGCCGGAGGAGATTTTGTGAGGGAACATGCTTCTCACAGAGCAAATGGAAATGACAGAGAAAGTGAGAAGCTGCTGTATAAAGCACTGGGTGTTCCTGGGAGAATACCTACCTCAGATCTTACTTCTGCCCCTCCTCTCCTTTCTCTCCCATGGCATGGCACCCAGGATTGGTCCTATTTACTCACCCTTAGCAGCCAAATACAAATGTAGAGGAGAGAGAGACATAGGGCAATTTTAGACCCAATCCTGATCGAATGGCCAGAGCAGGTCTGACCATAGACACCATCTGTAGCTCTTGCAGCTGTGCCTCGTTCACTTGCATCTGTAAGAGCTAACTCGCAAGACACCCAAATCTGCCTCTTAAATTCTGGGTCAATTTCCACAAAGAGCATGGCCACAGGTGGAGTCTGGGCACAGGTATTTCCTGTGCCAGCAATGCCAATGCTCAGTGAAAGCATCAGTAAGTCCAGACACCTCGTTCATACTGAGCTGGTGCATGTAATTGGAAAGGTAATTTGTTACCTCTTAGCTTTCACATCATTGCAGAATTCCTAATATCATTATCAACCAATGAAGGAAATTAGGGTGAAACATCAGCTTGGAAAAACCTAACTTGTTTTGATACTATATGAAAGCAAATCTTGAACTCGAGTTTGGAAAAAGAAAGGCATTCCTTCAAATTCTGGTTAGTATTTTGAAAGGATTATTCCTTTGCCAATACAAAGTACTTCTCTTTGGCCAGAGCCAGGTAAGCTGGAGCTGGAAGGAAAGCAAACCGATGCAGGCTAGGAAGAGTACATGTGGTCTGGGAATGGGGAAGAGTGAGACTTTGGGGCACTCCTGTCATGAGAACAGCACTGGCACCCCAAGCCAGCTGGCAATGCCGGTCACTTTGTGGCTCTCCTCTGACTTCACCCTGCTGTCCTGTGCATGTGTTTTCTTGAAGCAACCACATAACGTCCTGCAGAAGCGCCTGATGGAGACAAATTTATCAAAATTACGAAGCAGCCGAGGCAGCTGGGCTCCGAAGAGTGATGTCTCAGCACAGACCAACAAGCTGAACCAAACCAAACTGGGCAGCTCAGGGAAAATGGACGATGAGGAGCTCATAGTGGTGAGCTGCCAGGTAATAGTCTCTCCCCAGCCTTCTGGGACTTTTTCCCCCCAGGACTTGCTTCTGACAGCCTCAGGCTGTCCTCTTGTTCTCCATGTTCCCTGATCAGGGTTGCACTCCAGTGGGGCTGTTGCTGCTGTGCGATGCTCTCCCTCTGCAGCTCAGGGCTGCTGTGGCACAGATGCCCACCTGGGTATCACAGAGAAAAGTGATATGATGGGTGCCTTCCTTGGATATCAGGGTGGAGGGAGCAGCCAGGACAGGGCAGCATGCTGAAACACTAAGGATAATTATCCATGAGGAATCTCTGTGCTCACAGTCTACTGGTTTTCCTCAAGTGCCACTCCTCTTCTTTCCCCAAGAGTAATTTCACATTTCTCCCTACTCTCACACTCTTTTGTGTTTTCCCACTCTCCACAATATCCCTTCCTGCCTGGGGCTGTTCCTTCTGCTCTCTGCAGTGGCAGATGCTGCTCTCTTTTGTATTTTCCCACAATATCCCTTCCTGCCTGGGGCTGTTCCTTCTGCTCTCTGCAGTGGCAGATGCTGCTGGGAAGGGCTCAGGACCCAATACCGTGTTGTTTAGTAGCACTATCTTACTCAAAAAGCAGCTCAAGAGCCAGCTCTTGTGTGCCTGGGGTGGACGGGGTGGTACCGTGTGGGCACAGAGCGTGCAGTGGAGCAGAAATGGGCTGGCACAAGGAGTTGTCAGTATTTCATTGCAGACCAGTGTGTGTGTGTGGAGTGGAGATACCAAACACCCTGTGCTCATCCTGCATCCCACACGTCGTCTCCTGTCTCTTGCAGTGTGCAGGGAAGGAGCTGAAGGCCGTGGTGGACACCGGCTCACAGTACAACCTCATGTCGTCTGCCTGCCTGGACAGGCTTGGGTAAATATCCAGCTGCATTTCTGTTTCGTGGGGGCTTGTGGCACCGAGCAGCCCAGGCAGTGCTCCTGGGGCTGGGACTTCACTCATGCCAGCGATAATCATTCTGGAAGGTGCTGCTTTGGGCTTTGTCTGGGCAAGCCCCTGAGCCTCCTATCACAACCAAATCCTGGCTTATTCTTAAATGCCCTTGCAGCGAGCTGAAATAGAAAGCCACTTGTACCAACATATTAATCTTCGAGTAAATCCCTTCAGAGGGTTGGATGCATTCGTATTTTTCATTGCCTGCCTGTTTGTCATTCAATGCCTCATGAAACAGCTGAAATCGCTCCTGACCGTCTGTCTTGCCAGGGCAGGCACGGAGCTGGGTCAGCCCAGCCCACTCCTGCAGATCTCCCCTTAGGAGCAGGGACCTGGCCTCTGGGTGTGCTCCCACAGGCCCCAGCACGGGGGTGAAGCAGCTGTGTGGTTATGTACATGCACATGCTCAGAATCTGGTGTCTGATGGTACTCCCAGTAACAAATTTATCCTGGTTGAAGGGAAAGGAAATGTATTTATGTAGTGTTACAGAGCTGACTGCCAGCCATTTGCAGCAAAACTCCCACTGATCTCTGAGGAGCAGGATCAGACATCAGCACACAGCGTATCAAGGAGACTCTGGCACTTAATTCCCATGGAGTCGTTGTTTTTTATCACTGACTCACAGTCATTATGCAAAGACCAATTGCAGTTGCTCCCTGGGGAACTCCCTTCTTGGTGCAACAGTATTTAGTGGCTGGAAGGTGTCCGTGCTTCCTACAAACTTGTCATGAACTGTGGAACTGCTCAGCCTAGCTTGGGGATGATAACAGTGCACTGGAGGGGTCTCATCCTGTAAGATGCTGTGCTGGCTGCTCAACATGCCTGAGCTGCACAGCGATGCTCTGTGACAGTTCACCTGCTCTCTGTGTTACTGTGTGTCCCCTGCAGTTTTTGCAGCACTGTCCTTCAGCAGTCGTCCCCTTCAGGGTGCTTAAGGTATAGGTTAGACCCAGATTCTGCTCCGAGGTTATGGGGATTTCCTCCTGGTTTGAGTGAGACCAACCACTTCTGTAGCTATCCACCAGAGAGCTGTGGCTAAAAGGCCCATGTCCCTTGGCAGTTGTACCCACTAGTGATGAGTGAGCTCTGGGTGGGACACGGGGCTGGGGCCAGGGGGGTGCATGTGCAGGCAGCATGGCTGGGGGGACCCCATCCCACAGCCAGCCCCGGGGACAGCTGCCTGCGGCTCCTTTGCTGTTTGTGTCTGGGGGAGATGACGGAGCAGGTAACAGCCAGGGTCTGTAACCCTCTCTGATGTGCGGCTCGCTCTGCTGCCACCGCCGTGGGTTCCATGGGACAAGAGCCACTGCTTCAGGATGTTTTACCTCAAAGCAGTCCAGCTTCTGTGGCAATTACAAAACACAAGTTGTGTTTAAATGCAGCCCTGGAAAGCAGAAGGGCAGAGGCGTGCTAGGTGATTTTTGGTTTGTTCCTGCCAGGGCAGGAGGGCCCCGCAGTGTGTTTTGTTGGGTGCTGCTGCCTGCAGCTGAGGCTCAGCAGCTCTGGGGACAGGTCCTGCTGCTGAGGTCTCGGGGGGCTTGGTGCCTAAAAGCAGCCTCAGTGTGGCTGAAGCACAGGCTCAATTCCTCCCTTCTTTTTGAAAAATCTCGTCACGGTGCTATCTGAACTCTTCCCCTCGCCCCTGGGGAAACAGTGGGGTTAGCTCATGGGCTGCTGCAGGGTCAGAAATCCCCTGTGCAGGTGTAGGTGTGGCTGTTCTGTGGGCAGCTCTGGTCACCACACACCGGCCACTTGCCACTTTCAAACCCAGCTCCAAGACGTGTCGCTGCACCTGGCAGCAGCGGCTCTCCTCTCCTCGCAGCAGCCTGGCCAGCTCTCAGCCACCCGTGGCCTATGTGCTAGCTGCCCATCCTTGGGTCTGTCCCAGCTGTGCTGAAGTGCTTCCTCGAAGGTGGTTTTGCTCTGCCCTGCCCCTGCAGCCTGGCTGCAGCCCTGGACACGTCTCGGGAAGCCCTCTGGGTCAGCAGGTGCCAGAGCAAGGAGTCATTCTCAGCTGTATCTCAGCTCTGTTCAGATCCTGGCCCCAGCACCGTGGCCCCTGCCCTGTGGTGGGGACAAACAGGGGGAAATAAAGACCACAAAGTCTTCCTCTGAGTGGATAGAGAAGCCATTGGAGTAGACTGCACTCAAAAAAGCCATCCCAACTTGACTCAGCCTACTCATAATTTGATGTGTTCCCACTGCTTTTTAAGGCCAGTCCCTGATGGAAGCTGCAGGAGGGATCCAGCTCCTTCTCTGCTGCTCCTTGTACCTGTGCTACAATCCCCATTGCAGTCCCAAGGCCTCTGGCTCTGGGAGGGGATGGACAGACAGACACAGTGCTGCTGTGCAGCACTGCACAGCAGAAGGGTACCTCAAATAGCTGAAAAGCAATGCAGCTTTTATCTGAGGCCTGAATGGGATTGATCTGTTCCCATTTCCTCTGAATAAACCCAGCAGCAGCACCTGCTGACAAGCACGGATGGGGTGTGTGGCCTCAGCCATCAGGCATGGGGACACAGTGTCTGTGGCTCCACTGGTGGGAGCTGGAGTGGAGCGTCCCTTCTTTACACTCACCTGCCTTAGAAGCAATTTTAGATTCAGCAGCTTCCCCATGTCTTGAGGAAATGTAGAAAAAAATTCCTCAGGTAAAAAGCAAAACCCAGAAAAGAGCTCTCCTTGAGGCCAGAGCTGATGAGGCCTCAGGGCTGTGTCATGGGTCATACTATGGTCTGATGTGGGTGTAGGCTGTTGGCTGTAGGCAGAGCATCACAGAAAATCTGCCAAGGAAGCAGCTTTCCAGTAACAGTGTGGTAATAGGAGCCAGCTGAGAGCACTTCAGGCGTAAGTACTCTCCAAACACTCCTTGCTGGAGCAGCCAAACTAGGACCCTTTCGTGTCAGAGGCGTTTTCAACGTGCAGGTTGAAGGAGCAGCTCCAAGCACTGCCCGGTGAAGAGGAGCTGGTGTCGCTGCCGCGCGGGGCGAGGCCGGTTGGCCGGGTGGAGTGCCTGCCCCTCGCCGTGGGAGCGCTGCCCGTGCCCTGTGCTGCCCTCGTCCTGGGTGAGTGCCGCCCTCCTGCCCCGGGGCAAAAGGAAGCTTCAGAAACACGTTAAACTTAAAACAGAAATGCTGCTTTTTTGGCAGCAAAAGTCTGTTTGGCCCTTCGGGTGGAGGGCGGGGGGGATGCTGTGTTCAGCAGGGCTGTGCTGGCAGCACCAGGCTCGTGCTCTGCCGTGCCAGTGGAGCAACCACCGTGTCTCCGTGCAGGCACGTCCACCTGCACTCATTTGATGATGTTCCCCTCTGGAGTAACTCACTCCCTTTATAAACAGGGCTTTATTGAGCCATGGAAGAAGGACAGAATCACTGACAAAAATGGGAGAACATTTTGAATGTATAAATCTGTTCCTATTTTTCAGAAGACCATGAGAAACCCTTCTCCATTGGCCTGCAGACACTGAAATCTCTGAAGGTAGGAGTTTTCCGTCAGGGCTTTTACCCACGCCAGGGAGCTGGGACCACTGTGAAATGCACTTTTCCCTCTTACCTAAAGGTATTTATTCTCTAGTGCATCATAAACATGGAGAAGAGCCATCTCGTTCTGGGGAAGACGGACCGGGCAGAAGTCCCGTTTGTGAGCGGTGGTGGCACCGTGGAGGGAGAGCAGTAAGTTGCTGGGGAGGTGGGCTGCCTGTGCACCATGGAGCCCCAGGGTTTTCATCAGCTCACTGAGCTGTAAAGCAGAGTCCCTGCCTATTTCTGCAGCTTTTTTCTGCTTCTGCTGCTTTTTTTCCAGTAAGCATGGTACAGTAAGGGAGATGTCTGAAATGACATGCACTGGGAAATGCCTTAGGAAATGTACTTTTTGGAGGTCACTAGGAAGACTCCTTGAGTGCTGCTTTGAGAGTGTTCCCAAACAAACCTTTTTTTCTGGAAAATATTTGCAAAGCAAGGCAAGTAAACCCACATGAATGTTTTGCAAAGCACAAGAGAGCAGAGAGATCCTGCCTGGAGATAACGGTGTTGGTTCCCCTGCCTGCTCCTGCCAGGTGCTCCCCATGTCCCACACTTTTCAGGCTTTATCTGCCTATGGAAAGAGAAATCTGCTGTGGGCTCTGATATCTCCTGAATGTGCGTGGCTCGTGACGGCTGGCTCTGCAGGCGGGCAGGGCAGTCCCTCTCCTTCCAGGCACTGTGTGGGGGTTCCTCCTTGCCAAGCACTGTGAAAAGGAGGCGTATCATGGGCTCCTGCCTCTGCCTTATCAAACTGGGAGGTACTGGGTGCCTGACAGGGAGATTTGCACTTATGTGGCTCTCCAGCTTCACAGGCAGTGAGAGTGCTCAGCAGTGAGCATTGTGGACACAGCCATCTAAAACGCATCTGCCCACCACATGAGAAAGCATGTGGTGAGTGATGCAGGGTAGCATCTTCTTTAGCTGCCTGTCACAACCAGCCACAGCCGTTTTGGATGTCCTGCAGCCACTCTTCAGCTTGAGTTTGCTGTGCTGGGCACCACCGAGCTTGAGGAGCCTGAGCAGGAGCAAGGAAGAAGCAGACCTTCCTCAGCTATCTGTGTTTGCATTCCTTGGGGAGTACATGAGGGACATACAGACTAGGTCAGGGAGTCAGGATGAGAGCACAGGTGCACCCACCATGTGCCCAGGTGACAGAACAACCACTGGCCACGGGTGCTACCAGCGTGTGAGCCCAGGGACCACCTGGTACAGCACCACGGGGAGGCCGTGCTGAAGCACAAAACCACAGGCTGTTTTCCTGTCTCCTTTGAAAGAGGGATGCAAGAGGAATAGTGTAGTTCTGTCACCACTGCATTATTTCTTGGTGTTTCATTTGAAGACAAATTTTGTGGCTTTTCTTTTCCCCATGAAAAATGCCTTTTTTATTGAGCATCTTTTCCTTCCTGTTTCAGCAGTTCGGAGGAATAAAGAGAAATGAAAACATCATCCCCAAACAAGAGCTTGACATCAAAGAAATCCTGTGCAGCTGTTCCAGATGAAACAGCAGCATGCTGCTTTGAAAACATATATACTAGGCTACAGCTTGAGTAGAGCTAAGTGAAATCCTGTTCAGTAGCCAGTAATTTAGAGATTTTGTCATGTTTATCTATGGGTTTTGAGAAACAAATGTGTGCTTATTTTCTGGAATTTTCTATATAGTGTCCTCTTTATTACAAACAGTTGGGAAAAACTTACGAATTTCTTGTGACAAGAAAAACACTTTTTATAGCAGCCTCATATGAGTAATTGTATTTAGCTGTGATTAGAGGCTATCAGAATGAAATTTTTATTAATGATTTTTCCAGGGGCTAAGCATTTATATTCACTTAATTGATATTGCCACATTCAAATGACCATTAGCAGGAAGTTACAGTAAACTAACAATGCTAATACACCTAGGAATTATAGCTCATCCTGTTAGCATAGTATTCTTGCCATATAATTAAGGATGTAGCTGCTGGCTTGACGAGAAAGAACAATTACAGAATTTTTAATGGGTTATGGGCTTCTCTGCAGTGGCATGGCAGAAGCACAGAAACAGGGTTTGGGGAGGGTTCCTGGGGTGATCCCCTGCAGCCCCCAGCTTGCTGTTGGGTTGGCACCAGCACAGGGACAGCCCATTGTGGTACCGCTGGGACTCAAAACTCCCCAAAGAGGGATCTCTGGGCAGGTCTTGGCTGCCTCTGTAGCAGGAATCACCAGAAAAATTCATCACTGTATTGAGTCAGAAAGCAACAAAGGAGGACAAAAGTATGTTGTCCGTAAAGCAGCAGATAGGGAGCCTCACTGGCCTTTCAGGAACCACATGGCCCCAAGCTGCCCTGGGCTCTCCCCTGCTGCCAGGACTGGTGCCTCTGCCTGCCCCCCAGCACCCCAGCCTGAGGCACCAGCAGCACCCGGGCTGCGCCCCGGGGTGGGCCATCACCTCCAGCCAGGCTTCAGTGTTGCTGCCAGAGATGCCACGTTTTTAGCCTCTGCCTGCCCCCCAGCACCCAGCCTGAGGCACCAGCAGCACCCAGGCTGCGCCCTGGGGTGGGTCATCACCTCCAGCCAGGCTTCTGTGTTGCTGCCAGAGATGCCACGTTTTTCTATACCTATTTGCAAATTGCCTGGGATCCTAAGTACAAACCCAACCTTGATCCCCTCAGGGCAGGTGGGAGCTTCTGCCAGGACAAACATGGCATTCGGTGTTATGGTCCTGTAGCAGCAGCGCTGCTACGTCACCTGCTGCTCACCTGCAGAGCAGAATGGACATAGGGTACTGCCTGTGGGAGCCTGGCCTTCTGCAAAAGCAACTTCCTAGGTTTTTAAAAGCTAATGGGAATTAATTCCTCTCATCTGCTGAAGAGGCAACTCCAAAGTTCAGAATAATATCCCTGTGATGTTGTGCATCTGCTGCTGACTCGTCCCGCTGCAGCCAGACATCGTCGCTGGCATTGCCACTTAAGAACTGTCTTGATGGTCCTGGGCGAGGACCAGTAACTCCTGTCACCTCATGGCCATCAGCCTGGGTCCAGAGCCTGTCCCACGAGCCAGGGTCCTGCCAGCTTTAGCCAGTGTATGCCCAGTAACACCATCTCATGCCTGCCATCCATCTAAGCTGGAGCTTTATCTCCTGCAGTGGGTTTGAACCTCTTTTCAGTATTTGGTATGACTAGAAAATCTGAACAATGCATATCTTGAGCAATTTTCTATTTTGGTGATAAGTTTCAGTGCTTTCTCTACATACAGTATTTTATATAACACAGCTATATATATTTAAAGGGTTGAGCTGCCCAGGGCAGTCCCACAGATGTGTTGTAGAAATATTTCACTCAATATTATATTTATTTCACTATTTTATATGCCATCAGCTTGGTATTTTGGTACCTCGTCCTTTCTGTGCTTATCACTGTGCTAAATGTCAAATTAAATCTAAATAAAGTTACATTGTTATTACTGTTAATTTGCCTGTACCCTCGGTAATGCTGGTTATTTGTTTTCAGTGCACTCTTCTGTTGAGAACAGGAGTTTATTTCACTCATGACTCTGGTGAGACTCCACAGGGCCTTTGTGCTTCTGCTGGGAGTTGCTACTGGACTGTCTGGGGAGTGGCAGTGGAGATGGGTGAACTGGGCAGGCTAGATGGCCCACAGCACTTGTGGTAAAAAGGCAGCATTTGAAATCCCAGCCTTCTGTTGCCAAGAGTCTCCTCCCAAAGGAGGTGTGAGATCCTGCTTGTACTGCTTTGAGTTTTACCCTTTGGAAAGCTGAATTTGCTTCTGCCATGTGTGGCCAGCTCACTGGGGCAATGCCAGGCAGTGCAGGGGAATGTGAAGGTGATTTTGTAAACTTTATGAAGCTAGGAAAAGAAACTAGTCAGAGCAAAAGACAGTTAAGGCATGCGTGCAATAGCTGTGCAGCCATAAAGACAGGGGCAGAAGCCTGAGATCAGGCTCTTCCCCAAAGCTTTGAATGTGGATTTAAGGGCTTGCTGTCTCTGCCCAAGCAGGCTTTAGGCTGCTTCAGCAGTAGATGATCTCTCTCTTAGCAATGAGAAATTATCCTTTTATCCACTCAAAGTCCCACGTCAAAAACCACAGCAGCAATACTCGAAGGTCAGTAGAAGTTGCTCTCCTCAGCACTGGGCTGCCATTTCTGGTGCACGGAAACAAGTTAGACTCCAGCAATAAAGTGAAGAAAAAATAAGCAGAAATGTACAGGCAAAAATAACATCTCATGCTTCCTGGAGCTGCAACAGGTTGCTAGACTTACTCAGACTATTGCTGATGCTAAAGAGCAGAGTCTTAGCACATGCAAATGGAAAATCAATGGGCAAAATTTTGTCTCTTCTGCACAGAGTGGGGCTAGCCCTGCTGCTGGTGGCCTTCCAGAGGTGGCTTCTGTGAGCAGGGTGCTCTGTAAGACAGGACAGCTGTTACAGGAGGCAGGCACTCACCTCAGTCCACAAGGATTATAGACTATAGGAAGTAATGTCAGATCTCTGTATCTACACAAGCACTTGCATGGCCACAGAGGTAAGTGTCAAAGCAGCTGAGTGTTGAAGAGCAGCTCAGCTATCCCTGGGTGCTTGCTCCTGCTTATCTCCAGCACAGGCGTGTGCCCGTGCACCTTTGGCACCTCTTTGACATGAGTCTGCAGGAAGCCTGGGCATGGTCCCACAAGCAGGGGAACTGCTGCCTCTTGGGAGATGGCTCAGTGCAGAGAAGAGGGCAATGCCTGAAATCATCTGGGATGAGGAGGACTTGGGAGACAAAAAGGCGGCAGCAAGCAGATGTTACGAGAAGCCCCTGAGGTGGCAGGAGGTTTTGTTGAATGATTTATGTCCCAGCAGGTGAATGCTGTCATGCTGCTAACACCTCACAGGTGAGGACAAACACCACCCTCCCCAAGCAGCCTAAAGGGGAAGTGAACTAGCTCTTTCTTGGCCAAAGGGCTCCCCAACTCTTGTGCTCATGTAGTCAGCAAAGCATGGTGGGACAAAACAGCCTTGCCCCCTCCAATGTCTTGTCTTCATTTTGGTCATGCCTAAAGCAGGGATGAAACATGTAAAGGGGAAGACATGTACAGGAGGCTTAATGGGTCCACCACAGTGCTTCAGAAGCTGGTGGAACATGGGTCTTGATGCCTGGGCTCCTGCAGTTAAGATG